GTTACCATTCTTACTCAAAGTCGATTCATCATAACATATTCAGTTTCACCATGAAATTAATTTCTATCATCACCATATTATTCAGCATGCTCAATTACATTTATTTTGACAAGAATTAGCTGGCTTAGACGGCTTTTTCATGATTTTCAAAAATACGCTTATTAATCCCTATTCAAATTCAGTTTTTTACAATTTTAACCCTGTTTGGCTATTTTTTCAGGAACCAAACCATCACCATATTATTCAGCATGCTCGATTACATTGATTATGTCAAAATTTAGCTGGCTTAGACGGCATCTTCGTTATGTCTAAAAGGTCACTAATAAATCGATATTTTAATGTTCTTTTTTGCAATTTTAACCCTGTTTGGCTATTTTTTCAGTGGCCAAACCTTCACTATATTATTCAGTACCCTTGATAACATAAACCACGAATAGAATCGACTGGCTTAGCGACCTCTTTTAACGAGCGTAAAAATGCAACCTTCGAATCATAATATGAACTTTCTTTTCGAATGCGTTGTCTTAGCAAAAAAAGAAACAGATATTCGGAATCAGCATAAAAAATTATATTAAAAAAAGTTCATTTCATAAAAATATCCTAAGAGGAGATTTTCCCTATCCATTTGCAGGTCCTCCTTAACTTAATTGAGACACATTTTATCAGATAAATTATCGTTTATAACTTTGTATGTTCAATTGATAGCAAGACAATGAATATTGCTCATCAACATGAAAAATAGTCAGAATTCAGATTAGAAACGAAAATGTAGTTTTCATCAAGTTTGTTGTAATCGATTGAAAAAAAAATCAAAAATAAATTAAAATTAATGTTTTGGAATAAATATTCAATTGAAATAAATTCATTCATTTGCAAGAGTTGCACCACAAGTGCGCACGGCTTTTGAGACACTTTTGTTCACTACTGAGTTATAAATAAAACTTGAGATTGAAAATAATTTTTATTTTATGTCATTAATGCAAGCTTTGAGAGACTAAAAAAACAGAAAGTGCGAAAGTTAAGGTATTTCAACGCTTCGAAAGTATTTCGACTTATCGATACGTCTTGATGCGTCAAAAAGGTCATTATATTCACTTAGTTATGGAAAAATGAATTTATCATTTCATTTTCCTAAGCACTGTTAATAAGGGAAAAATTAGTCTCAAGGCTCAAAGCAAGGGTTAAAAGTTACAATCAATGTGTAACGATCAACGAATTGAATCCAACAAAATTGTTATTGTTTCAATCATGTGTCTGATCAAGCATAGTTCAAGCGTTAGATTTATTTCGGCTTATTTAATAGCTCGAACAGAGACTAACTAAAGTTAGTTTTTATTTCAGAAAGTATGAACCAGAATGAATGATTGCATACAAAGTTTTACGAAATATCCACTCAACACCTAGGTATGATCATTTTTTATGAAAACCAGCAAACAACTGCAACTACGATGCTAGCAAACAAGCAAATTTTGTTTGCAAGCGATTTCAAAGTTATTTTTTTAATGCGAATTATGAGGCTAGAGAAACACGAAGTGACTTTGGACTGGCAATACTCAACTTTTAGCAAGTTTCAATAAATTTTGTATTCGAAGCGTCCATTCGAGTACTTTTTGCAATCAATGAAAAGTTTCTCTTTTTGCCTGAGCTCTAAATTAACTGACGATGTTATTTGAAAACAGAAAAAGTTCAATTTTATCAACGAGTTTTTTGCTGAAAACAATTTGCGTAATGTTTCACCATTTAAATCACTGAACGAGTTGATTAGACTTTTTGTTCATTCAATAATCGAAATAATATTCTTCAACTTCTTATCTAACTATTGTGATCCATTTTTTTGGCAAAACAATTCTTTCTTCTTCTATTTCATTCGATTCATCAACGTGATAACATTATAAAGATAATTATCTGAATAAAGTGAAAATTCAACGTTTTTTATTCAACTTTTTTTTTCTCTCCATTTCTCAATTGTAAGCGAATTCACTTGGTAATAGTGAGACTATTATCAGTCAATAGACAAAGTTATTATTATCATTTTCATTATCATTATTATAACATCGCTTAACTGAATCATGATGTGATTTTTCATATTTTCCAAGCTTCTCTTTTCCCTGCAAAACTCAATATGTTCACTTTTTCAATGAACTTTTTTTTCCTTTTCCCTTTATTCCGTGTTTCACTTTCACTGATTTTGTTTTTCATGTTCATTTATTCATTATTATTATTAGTTTCTCAACATCATCTTAACTTATTATTCAAAATGAACTTTCCTCCAACTCTTAACTTTCAAAATTGCCATTATTATGATTACATTTTCTGTCCAAAAAATCAACAATTCTGTAACATTCAAGTAAACTTGGAGTCAAAATTATCTCAACATAAATCACAATTTAATTGCTTTTAAACCAACAACTTAAGAGCATAATTATACATTGAAAGCGTCAGTTGAAAAGGAAAACAAAATTCTCGAAAAACTCGAAACTCTAATTATCTGAATAAACTCATCTGTCAATTGAAACCATTTCAATTCTCATTCTTCTGTATAAATACATCATTTCCATCAAATGTTTATGAATTATTCTTGAAGAAAAGAGAAGAAGAAAAAACAGTCGAAAAATCCCATTCAGCTATTCAAGTGTGCTTTTTTTCTCAACCATTGATTCCCTTTCATGGTGAAAAGTATCATGATCAATGATTAACTTAAGAAACTCAATCTGATTGTAAGACTAGAAGCGCAAGTCTAAAGGGTGAACACGCCTTTTCCATGCTGATATTATGTCTGTTGATGATAGTTTTTTTTCAACAGAGAAAAAAGTTATTCTAAAGATACAGAAAGAGGCAAAGGAAAGAGAGAGTGAGCTGAATGATTATGATGATGATGATGAAGAGAGAAGAGTGAAAGTGAGGATTGATATTAGATAAGAGGAGAAGCTTGAAAATTGTGGAAACTTGGAGTGGAAACATTTCTTTAGTTGATTCTGATGAGCCAACAACAAGCCAAGTAAAATGTTGTACTTGAACGCATTTGCCTTTAACTCGTCGGTTTAACATTGGATTAACAATTTACTCCTTTAACATCAAATATTTCATTCGTTTTTTCATCGACACTTCATGTTCGCTCATTCAGTTTGCACTTGATTGACTTTCGGCTAAAATTGAAAGCCATAAAAGACCAATGATTATGTTTCCAGAGCTTAATTCATCGCTTAATTTTACCATTAAAGTGAACCTTTTCAAACAAATTGTATGACAACATCAACTTTTCAAGGGACAAACAAAAGATCAACAAAATGGCTTCAAAAAACACATTAACTTGTCTCTTTCAAACAATAATTTTGTTCCCATTGAGTTTGGGTAAGTTTCATTTATTCATATTCCTCATGTTCATCATTCAGCGAATGTCTTGTAAAGTGAAATCATTTTTTCCTTCTTATATTGACTCTTTAACGCTTGCAATGAATTAATTTGACAATTTATCCACAAAATATAAATCTATTTGCATCATTGAAAGATTATTAATGATTTGATGAAAGTTGATTTGAGGAAAAAGTTCCAATGTTGAGTTAAGAGAATGTTTTTTTCATCCAATATTTAGCTTATCATGATGACAAAATTGTCGTTCAATGAAGCAAACTATTTCCATTCATGAATTGCCATTTATCTGTTCAATTGTCTGCTGAAAATCAAGTGTAACTCTTCTCAACTTTATCTTCATGTTTAGTGTTAACCATTTTTTTATTATTAATCTTGATCGAATTAAACGTCTTAAAGTCATTTACTCGACAATGAATTGCTTTTCCCTTTATCACGATTCCTTCTGAATCTATTATGGAACCAACAAATGAACGGAAAAAGTTGACTTGAATGAAAAGAGAAAAAATTGTTAACTTATTTGTTTCTTTTTTTCTCTTCTTTTCCTTTCTTCTTTTCTATTAATATTATTGATATTTTATTCTGTTGATGACATTTTTTCTTCACATTAATGTTTTAAAAAGCAACAATAAAAGTCCATCTTGAAACAATAATTGAACATGGAATAAGGTTGAACATGATAAAGAGAAGTGAACATTTCACTTTCCAAGCTAATCTTCTTCTGGAATGTCGAACTTTTTTTTCTTTTTCTTCGAGTTTTTCACAACATTGTTTATTAACGCAAATATTTTCTATTCATTTTCAAATGATAATTACCTTTGTTAACATTTTTTATTCAATTTACGTTTCTATTCAGTGAAAATTGTGTTAATATTGTGCTTGGATGAAAAGATGAAAATGCCTTGGAATAATAACATCATAATGAGTTAGTTATTATTCATAATTTTGTTTCCATCATTTTAATTACTTTACAATTGACACAGTTACTGATACTTTTAGAAAGTATCAAAACTATTTTTAATCTTATTCAGGTTCCATTCACATTGAGATTCATTTGACTTCAACTTTTCAAAACTTGTAAGAAAACATAAAATCAGAAAATGATGATTTTTCGGCAATCAATCCTCGCTCAACTGCAACAACCTATGAAGTTGGATCTAAACATTGAACTGTTGCATTTTAGCATCTCTAATCGTGACACTAATGATCAAGTTCACTATATTAGCTCAATCGGGTTGAGTCAACACTGAATAATGATTCACGAGAATGAGTTAACTAACATTCCTCACTCCTTGAATGTACAAGGAGCGCACAGAGTTTTGGTTTATCTAACGTGATGATAAGTCAACTCGTTATTGAGCTGAAAATCTTCGAGTTAGTAACTTTAACATTCCGATGGAAAAGAAAAGTTATTTTTACGTGTAAGTCGTGTTTCAAAAGTATTTTATTAATGGAAAAATGCAAGAAAAATATTCGAACGACAATGGATCTAATGCAACGACGTCAACTGAGAGGCCATTTCCATCATAGAACATATTTGGCCAATTTGGCAAAAGAAAAGGAGAAAGAAATAAGAAAAAGTCGGATCACGAGAAAAGATAATATTAGGTTGTTCGGAAAGTTTTGATACTTTCGGAAATTTTTTGATTTCAAATGATGATTAAATTTTAATAATTAACTTTATTGTTTCAATTTTCATACTAATGATTAATTGCGATCTTAGCTTTGATTTGCACTCTTTTTCGCTATCAAAAATATAAATTAACTCACTTAAATAACAATTTAATTTAACCATCATTTTTTGGCATTTTTCAACAATTCAATTTAATCAATTATTTTAATTGTTAGAAGAACATGTTTCGAAAATAAATTAACATCGATCGAAAGGCAGAAATCAAAATAATTTATCGGAGAAAAATTCATGTTTTAATCATCATCTTAATTGAAAAAATTAAACAATAATCAATCCAAAAAGAACAATTTTGACAATTTTCTATGGAAATTTACAATTGAAATTTTGAAAAATTGTCAAAAATTCATCTCTATGGAAATTTAATGTTAAATGGCATTTTGATTTTTTTTGAGTAATTAAATGATGGTAATGATTGAAAATTTAATTTTTTGTTCAATAATCAGCTAGATTTCAGGCTTTCGATTGATGTGTATTTTATTGAAATTTTTGAATTTTAACTAAAAAAATTTACTATTTGAATTTGATTGTTGAAAATATAAAAAAATGATGATTCGATTAAATTCGAATAAAGTTATGTTAATTGTTATTCTCAATGGCGAAAATATAATCAAATTAAAGCTAAAAGACCAATTAGTTAATAGTATGAAAATCAAAAGAAATCAAATAAATTCTAATAATTTATTAATCAATTGGAATTGAGAAATTTTGAGGTATCAAAACTTTCCGAACAACCTAATATTTGGTCCGTTCAGTCAAAATCTTCGAAAAATTCTGTAGAATACTGAGTGATATTGACGGTTTCAGATTGGAATTTGATAAAACTATTATTTGTAATAAACTCAACTTTTCATTAGCAACTGATTGGAAACTCGAGTCTTAATGAAAAATTTGATAAATTTCTATATAATCTGCATATTAGTTCATTAACTGAGCAATTTTAATTAACATGATCTACCAAAAGAAAATAAAAAGCAAACATTACAAGTTGAATAAAATGTTGACAGGGAATGTAAATACAATATTTATATTGATATTAAGCCACGATAAATTGAACAATAAAATGTAATCCACTATTTTGGGTTCAACAAATAAAATACAAAATATTATACAAGAGAAAAGGAAAAAGAAGAAAAAAAAGGAAAAATTAGGAAGAAAACACTTTTACTCTACTTTTATTGTGATAACTTTTATTATCATTATTATTGTTATTAGTATTGTCACTGGCAAATATAAAGGATAATAAGTATTAAAAATAACACACATTTTGATTGAAACAATATTTATCTAAATACTATTAATAACTTGGAAGCAACAATGAAAATTACATGAAAAGGTCAAACTGAAGAAACGAGAGTAAAAAATGAACGCAATTTCATTCCAGTTTACCTCATCAACTTTGAATTATTATCTAATTAAGAGTTAATCTGTTCATTGAATTTACTTGATATTTCATTTTTTCCTGCAAAAAGCTCAACATTAAAAGAAGATAACATTTCTCTTAATCTTTCAGTTCAATATTTTCCATTGGCTCATCATTACCGTAAAGGTAACAATTTCACTGACGATTTAACCTTTCGTTTGATGAAGAAAGTGAAACTTTTTAGTTGGCCATTCATGAAGCTCCTAATCTGTCATTTCCTTCCTTTACCTTTTCCAACCTTAATAAGTTGATAATAAATCTGTTTCCTTACCTATCATATTGACCTCATCATGCACCTTTTCATGTCAACAATTTCAGCTTCAATTGCTTTCCATTCAACCTTTAATTGCTTCACTTTTCATTGTTTCGAGTTTAACGAAATTTTCGTGTTTTCCTTTAATTACATTCTTGATTGTCTCGTTATTATTTAGTTGTGTGCAAGTTTGCGTTTCGTGAGTCTTCATTTTATATTAACAACTTTATTAATGAAACGTTTTCTCGATTTTTACTCGTTTGTGTTTCTTTTTTCATCATCGATTCTTATTCTCAATTCTGCCTTTTCTCTTCCATTTAAGGTGTTAATTAATGATTTACCATGAATATGACACTCTCTTAAGGAAGATAAACTTTGCTTTTCTCATTCATTATCGTCCCAAGTATTTCATTTGTGTCACTGTTAATTGCAACTTTGCACATCTTTTTCTTCTTTTCACATTTTCTGCTTCTTCTTCCAACTTGTTTCCTCTTTTACTTTTGTTGGACTTTTTGTTTCATCTCATCATCAAAAGTGTAACAAGATAGTTGTTAATGAATCAAATGTAATCTATTTTAATTGTTGATGCAAATAATTCTCTTGCAACGGAAACTTTCTCCTAAAAGAGAAACTCCAATTTGTTCAACTAATAATTCCAACCAACTCAGCTATTCTGCCCTTTACACTGAATAATTTAAATCATTCTTCCAACATGTCCATTCATTTCAGTTCAGTGTTGTGTCCATTGATCAACATTAACAGGTAGAAATATATTCAAATATGCATCAGCCGTGAAGGGGATGGCAAGGGAAACAGCATCTGAACTTTTTCATTGCTAATCAACAGAAATTGAAAATCGGAAACAGAAAAACTGGTTCAATTTCAAGTTCGTATTTTGTTGTCTCTGACCACATTTTGGATAATTGCATGAGATGAAACTATTTCTTTCTCTCAAATTGAATTTACTGGCAATGTCGTTATTCCCAACCTTCTTCAATTTAAAGCCCTGATATAAATTGAGATCATTATCATTATCTTCTAAAAATGAAATCGAATCATAATTTTAGTATTCATTAAATACAAAGTTTTACAATTTTCACTTGTCGGATTTTTCATGAAAAACGTTTGAAAATTCATTCAATAATAAACATTTTTTAACTGACACCAGTTTTCAATAGTCTTAGTAAGGGAATAGAATAAATTAGGGATTTTTCATGAGAACGGCGATTGTCTTTTCTGCTCTCTGGTCCTTCGATCATTCTTGGTCAGTTTGATATCCCTCGGTTGCATAGTCGATTTTTTGTCTGATTTTATTCAAAATGAAGACCCGAAGAACCAATGGAACTCATTTCAATTCAGTTACTGAGTTGCAATCAAAAGTCAAGCGCTTTAGCATTTGCTACAAGTCGTTAATAGATTCATGGAATCTTTGGATCCCTCATATTCGTTCCGATAACTGGATGGATGTCAAGCAAAGTATCAACACAATAAATGAACATTTCTGTTTGATTGATTGAAGCTTCCTATTAGCATTTGATCCAGAAAAGTTTCAACAATTTAAAGCTGTACATTATTCTGAACTTGAAACCCCCTGTAACTGAGCAGTTAATTAAATT